GAAAAAAAAAAAAAAAAAAAAAAAAAAAAAGTAAAAAAACGTTTTTATATATATTTTTTTTTTTTTTTTAAAATACATTTTGTATATAATAAAATTTATTTCACTGTATACTTGTAATTTTATTATTTTAAATCTTTTTTTTTTTTCTAAGTTTTATTAAAGTTGTACCATGAAAATATTTTCTACTATAAAATTCAAGAGTGTTTATTCACATATGTGTGTTTTTTTTTTTTTTTTTTTTTTTTTCATTTTATAATATCCTTTGTGTAAATATTCTTTTGTATTATAACTAATACTTTAATTATTATTTAATTTTTTTTTTTTTTTTTGAATAAAATAATCACTAATTAATAAATTAAATTATAAAAAGAATTAAACTCATATATTAATTTAGTAAAAAAATTTTTTAAAGGTGTTACCAAAAAATGAAGATTTTATTACTTTGCATATTTTTCCTATACTATGTGAATGGTATATATTCTTTTTTACATTTTAATAAATAATTGTATTTTTAAAATGTGTTATATTTCAAAATATAAAAATATATATTTAAATAAATCAATTTATATTGTTTTTTTTTTTGAGAATATATAGTTACATTATTTATTGTTGCTGTTAAGATACATTATTCAATTTATATTTATATTTATTTATTTATATTTATTTATTTATATTTATTTATTTATATTTATTTATTTATTTTTTTTTTTTTTTAAGCTTTTAAAAATACATTAAAAGGTGATGTATCATTTAAAATGTATAAGAGAAGAAAAAGTGATATAAACTTTAGAAATATTAAGAATAATAGTAGTACCTTCAGAAGAAATACAAATAGTTCATTAAAGAGCACTTTTGATGATATTAAAAAGATTACATCTAAACAACTTTCAGTAGAAGAAGACAAAATAAAATTAGAATCAAGTTTTACTAAAGTAAAAAGAATAATTATATAAATATTATTTTCATACATATATATATATATTATTTTAAAATGAAAAATACACAAATATATTACCATTTTGTATATCCTTCTACGATCTTTTATATTTTTTTTTTTTTTTTTTTTTTATTTTTCTTCCTTTTTTTAAAGGATTTAGGTGCTGATAGTTTAGATTTAGTAGAATTAATTATGGCATTAGAAGAAAAATTTAATATCACAATTTCTGACGCTGATGCATTAAAAATTAATACTGTTCAAGATGCTATTGATTTTATTGAAAAAAATAAAAAATAAAATATTCTTAAAAAAATATATTTATAAAGTACATACTTTTCAAAATGTTTTATGTATAAATTTAAAAAATAAAAGATTTTGAAGATAAAATGTTATTAACAAATTAAGACATTATTATTATTATTATTATTATTATAAATAAAATGCCAAAAAAAAAAAAAAAAAAAATATTAATTGTCAATTTTTTTTATATAGCATTTTGGTAATGCTTTTGTTATATAAAATATGAAAAAAAAAAAAAAAATTTATAAATTTTACTATTCGTTTTTTTTTTTTTTTTTTTTTTTTTTTTTTAATATATTAAAATATTTTTAAAAATTTCATTTACTTTGTATGCAATGAACTGCAACAAAAATAATTTTTCTTTTCTTTTTTAAAAACCTAAGAATTGTTAAATTTAATATTTAAATATTAAAAAAAAAATGTTAATATACAATATATAAATGAGAATGAAAATGAAAATGATAAATATAATAATCAAAATTTAATCCCACTGAAATAAATAATATTTTAATTAACATTTGAATTATTTAAATTTCTAATATGATGAATAATTAAAAAAGACGAATTTAAAACTTAAGATTTTATTTTAGTTTAATATTGTGAAGTATACAGCTAAAAGTTCTGAATTTTTTACATACATTTTAGTATAAACTTATTTTTCTTTTTTTTCTTTTCTTTATATTACAAAAAATTAAAAAGATATTAATAAAAAAAAAAAAAAATTGTTAAAACGAAAAGATATTCTAGACATTTTTTATGATAACTTATTAATACACAACCTTCTAATTTTTATATAAAAACGTAAAATTTAAAATAAATTATTTTTGAATTTAATTATTTTATATATGTTCTATTAATTATAATTTTTCTCTAAAAATTATTAAATATTTTTATATATATTTATATTTTTTAATTTGTTATTATTATATCATTTATATTTTCCTTTATTTCTCAAAGATACCTTATAAAACATTATATATATATATATATGTATATATATTTATGTAATTTTTTTTTTTTTTTATTTTCATATTTACATAGATTAATTTTTAATTTTATTCATATATTTTTTCAAAAGTTAATTATAATATTATCATTTAATAAAATTTATTTAAAAAAATATTTACAAAATAATAAAAGTTTAATTTTTTAGTAATTTGTTTAAATATATTAAATATGAAAATTTCATAAAATGATTATTTTATCTTTCTTTAAAAATTTTAATAAATAATTTTACTATAATAAATTAAATATATATATATATATTAACATATATATATATTACTTTTTTTTTTCAATTATTTAGTATTTTTTACAATATATATATAATGTACTAATTATTTAAAAAAAATAAATGTATTTTAAAAAAATATTATTATTCCTTAAAAAAATGTAAAAAATTAGTGTCTATAAATTTGTTTCTTTCTAATTATTTTTTCGTATAATGAATTGAATGTTTTTTTTTATTTCAAATGTAATCTTTTAATTTTTTAAGAAAAAAATATTAATAATTCTTTTAATTTATTATTAATATGATGATTCAGAATTATAAATTTACCTTTTAGGATGCTAATTCTTATAGAAATAAATTTATTTTCTTCACATAAATTATTAACAAAAAAAAAAAAAAAAAAAAAAAAAAAAAAAAAAAAAAAAAAAAAAAAAAAAAAAAAAATACACATATATATTTTATGTATTTAAAAGGAAACTTTTAATGTTACTTGAAGAAAGAAAAAAAAAATGATAATTCAAAATGAAAAAAAAATTAGAAAAATAATATTATTTTATTTTCTAATTTTTTTCCTTAATAAATTTATAGTTATTTATAGCTGCTTAGATATAAAGAAAAAAATAAAATATGACATATTTTTAACTAATAAAAATAAATATTCTTCATGTTTTTTAAATTTTTATTTGTATAAGAAGAATATTTTAAAAAATTTCAGAAAAGTAATATATAACAATAAATTTAGTAACATAAAAACTAAAAAAAATATATATATTTTATATGCACATAAGAAAAAAAAGAAACAAGATAAGATAGAAGAAATTTTAAAAAAAAAACTTTTAAATAATAATGAAAAAAATACAACAGAAGAAGATGAAACTATTAATAATTCAAATGAAGAAATTGTGATAGATAATCAAATTAAAGGAAATGATTCATTTTCATTAAAAAATTACAAAATTAAAAAAAACCTTCGAGAGGATATAGATGATAATGAAGATAATAGTACATCTAAAGATAAGAAAGAAATTAAAAATAATGATAATGAAAATAATGATAATGAAAATAATAATTTAGGTGAAAATAGTGTAGAACGTAATGAAGATGAAGAGGAAGAGGAAGACGAAGAAGAAGATGAAGAAGAAGAAGAAGATGAAGAAGAATATGAAAATACTGAAGAATATATCAATAATCTAAATAAAATATGCTTAGATAAAATGAATAATGTCTATAAATATATAAGAAAAGAATCTTATAGATTTAACCTAAATAATGTTTCAAATATTATGTTTGAAAATGAAAAAGTAAAAATAAACGAACGAATTTATACAATAAAACATATTTGCCACATTAAAAAAAAAGAAAATTTATTTATCATAACTCCATATGATCCTTATTATGTTAATTTTATTTATAAACATTTTGTAAAAGAATATAATGAATTAAAATTTTATATAAAAGATAAATCTGTTTTTGCCATAATACCACCTATATCTGAAAGTTTAAAAAATGAAATTAAAACTAAAATAAAAAACAAAATAGAGGATTCAAAATTAACCTTAAGAAATGTTAGAAAAAAAATGATGGATAAATTGGAAAAAATTAAAAATAAAATTGGAAAAGATATTTATTTTAAACAAAAAAATTACATACAAAGTATACATGATCAAACAAAAAAAAATATTGAAAAAATATTCGAAGAATTAAAATGAAATTATTTTTTCTTATTTTAATTTATAGAAAAGTTAATATTTGTACTTATTTTTGTTTTATTTTCTTTTTATCTAATTAAATTACATACGTAAATTATTATGTAATTATTTTAAACATAGAAAAAATATATTAAAAAATGTAAATTCAAAATTTATAAATATATAAATATATATATGTGAATTAAAATACAAAAAAGTAACCTATTTTTCTTTAATTTTTTTTTAAAAATATCCAATTAATTTTACATTTGTTCCATTGTCAGAATAGGTAACTCTATAAAAAAAAAAAAAATAAATTATTTAATAAAAAAAAAAGAGACATATATATTTATAAAATTGTAAATTTTTTTTTTTTACTTTTTTATTGTGAAGTTAATAATATCATTTAAAGAATATACTTTATCATCTTTTATAAATGTATTCTATAAAAATAAAAATATAAATTATGTTTATAAAAAAAAAAAAAAAAAAAAAAAAAAAAAAAAAAAA